TGCCATTGTGCCCTTTCGCTTCTTTCCATGAGAGACGATCCATTCCAGTCGCGCCGTCCAAGCCCCAGCGCCGGTTTCAACCGGGTTCCAGGGCCAAAATAGCACAAATGTTTCTCCTAGCCGGAGCACCTTTCTACAGCGTAATACGGTGACGTTTGTGCTCTTTGTCAACTTCGGTAATTACCTGTCAAACCGTCGCAGCTGTTTTGTGTCCTGCCGCCACCACCTGCAGGCGCACGATATACGACGTGCTGCACGATTTCGTACGAGGGTAGGTTGTTCACGCCCCTGGAAGCAAAGAAACAAAATTTAAAGGCATACGTCTGTACACATAGTACAAGATCCAACGACCAAACACCAACATGGCACTGACTTCCAGAAACGGACACGGTCCCGGGAAGACTTCATGCCTGCTGTCGTGCAACAAACACGCTCCTGCAAACGGTCGGCCTCACTTGCCCTTTACGCCTTCCCTCTCCTTCTCTCTTTTTCATCCCTCCTTCCTCTGGGGGCCGCCAGCGCTACCACACTAGTCTGCCAACGCTGCTCATAAGATGCCAGGATGCGCCCCATCCATTTGCCTTGGCTGGACCCTCCTGAGCAGGGGTGTGGAGCTAGTGCCTCGTACCTGCCCGTCTCACTCGTAAAGCTTCCAAAGAAGGGGCGCGCGCCTGCATGTTTCTCGTGATGGACAGGCAGGTTGAGGCAGGTTGAGGCAGGTTGACGGGTTTCTGTGGTTTTCGGGAGGAAGGCTCGAGGGCCTGCACCTGCAGGTGGAGCTCCAGGCGAGATGAAGGCAACAAAGATTTTTGGGCCCTAGGGGCAGCAGAGCCACCCCCCTCCCTTCGTCTGCCTTAGGGCCCTACCAGAACCTCATATATTCCTACCCATCCTCAGCATTCCTCAGCCCCATCCTTCTCTTTCCTTTTCTACTTCTTCTGTTCCCTCCCCTTTTTTTCCTCTCTCCTTTTCTTCGTCTTTCATCTTGCTCTCCAGCTTCGCTTTTGGATATTTTCCTTTTTGCTCATTCTTCTTCTCAGTCACTCGTTCGACATACATACACTCGCTTGTATCCTACTGCTTTGCCTTGTCTGTTTTTTGTCTCCTTTTTTTTCTTACTTCTGGCCCTCGTTATCTATATGCTCGTCGAGCTTTAATATCTACAACCACAACAACATTCGTCAACATGCTTTCCAAGCTCATCTCGACCTCCGCGGTCGTCCTGCTGTCGGCCAGCATGGCCACTGCTCAGACCTCGTCTCTGTGCAACCCTGTCAAGGGCCAGAGTATGTTCTAATTCAGTTGCGGCTTTTCCGTCCGCTTTCCGTGCTTGTGCAAATCTTGCACAATATCTTTCTAGTTTGTTTCATCGTACTAACAACCTCCAGAGTGCCCGGACGACCCTGCCTTCGGCGGCGTCGTCGATATTGACTTCCGTAAGGGCGCCAGCGAGTACTTCAAACTTGCCGACGGCACCGACCTAAACTACGACACGACGAAGGGCGCCGAATTTGTCATCGCCGCCGACACCAACGCTCCCACCATCACGTCCACCAAGTACCTGTTCTTCGGTACCGTCGAGGCCGTCATCCAGGTTGCCCCTGGCACTGGTATTGTCACCTCGTTCGTCCTGCAGTCCGACGACCTGGACGAGGTCGACTGGGAGTGGCTGGGCGGTGACACCACCCAGGTTCAGACCAACTACTTCTCCAAGGGCGACACCTCGACCTACGACCGTGGTGGCACGTCGCCGGTCAGCAACCCGCAGTCCGAGTTCCACACCTACACTCTGGATTGGTCCCCCGAGGCCCTGACGTGGTCGATTGACGGCACCGTTGTCCGCACCCTGACCTACAACGACGCCAAGGGCGGCGCCACGTACCCCCAGACCCCCATGCAGATCAAGCTCGGCACCTGGGACGCCGGAGGAGCCTCGCAGCCCGACGGCACCGCCGAGTGGGCTGGTGGCCGCACTCCCTTCGGCCCCGGCTCTGGCGCCCCCTACGTTGCCTACTACAAGAGCATCAAGGTGACGGACCGCTCCAACGGCGTCTCGGGCGCTTCCTCGTACACGTACACGGATGCCAGCGGCACCTACAGCAGCATCAAGGTCAACACTGGCGGTAGCACGTCGGGCGACAGCAACTCCACCGAGACCACCACCTCCAAGACGGCGACCAAGGCGTCGACCACCTCTACCTCGGCCAAGGCTTCGACTACCTCGACTTCGACCAAGGAGTCCACCACCTCGACGTCGACCAAGGAGTCCACCACCAAGCCCCACACAACCGCCACCACTCTGGTCCCGACCACCGCTGTCGGCTCCGGCAACAAGACCACCACCGCCACCACCCACTCCCAGACCAGCCCCACCCCCTCCGCCACGACCGTCAACACCAACGGCGTCGCCAAGGTCGCTGTCAACGTCTTCGGCGCTGCTGCTGCCATGGTCGCTGCCTTTGCTCTTCTGTAAGCAGGGAGCAGGAAGTGGAGTCGGTTTGTTTACGGACAGGATAATGTGGAAGGGTTTGTCACGGAGAAGTTTATTATTGTTGTTGTAGATAAGATACAGGGGACGAACGCCGTGTTCGTTTTTGGATGATTTTTTTTTATATTATATACCTTTTTTTTGTTTACTCATATTTTACCTGTCTCATGGTTTGCCAAGGGAATCATGTTTGGCGATTTGCTGGCGTTCAAACAAGGACAGAAAAGAAAAAGTGAACCGACTAATGGAGTACATAATCCTGACAATCGTCGATTTCTTTTTTCTTTTTTCTTAAACATATATTGACGTTCTAATTCGACTCTTTCATCTTCAATACGGCGTACCTTGTTTTGTTTTGAGACAAACCCCTTCCGATGCCAAGACCATAGTATCTGTCATCAAAAACTATACTCGATGGTAGTGGAAACGATAGCCCAAGAATGTGCCAGCAGAAGTACACAAAAACCAGGCTACGAAACAACCGGTGGTCATTGCCTAGAAAATACCAGGCCCGCTCGCGCCTTGGCCCTTTTGGTGGTTTTCTCGGGTGTCCCTGGGATGGTGTGAGGGCGGTTCACAAGCTCTCTAGGCATTCTTGCCAACTCTTGGGCTTTCTTGGATTTCTTTGAACATTGTTAATTTGCACACCTCGTTGAAATTACGACACAGAAGTCGTAACAAGAGCCTCACCTGTCGTGCTTTTTGCCTTTCTTTGGCCGTATTTTGTCTCTCACCTGCTTTCGCAGCGCTACCCCCAATGTAGAAAGCTAATAAACCGGGGACGAAAAAGAACGCCACGCTCAGGTACACACGCCATAACCCATGCACACAAAGCAGTATATGTACACAAAAGAACAAATAGAGTGAGTGGGTTTGCAATGCGCGCAGGGTCCCTGCCGATCCCTGTCGACGACTTGAAAGAAAACAAAAACACGGGAAATTAAACATGCAATGGGGATTTGTCCCGACTGGCAATGACTCCGCACGGGCATTCCAATTGCAATTTTACGTTGCGCACGCCTTACAACGGCTTTTGTTTGAGGTGGGGGTGTGTTTTTCCATTTGTCTGTCTCTTTCTCATAATCTTGGGGCTCGTTTGCTTTAGGCGAGGATCGCTCGCATGCTGCCGTCCGTTGCCGTCTGAGTTGCGTTTGTGGAGGACAATCGTTGATAGTCTCATGCCAGTACGACATATCATTTACTGGTTTCACTAAAAAAAGACGAAATTTAAGAAGCAAAAAAAATGAATATCCCCGTCTAGCAGAGTCAGTAGCTGCTGAAAACTGTGGACGATCCCGTGCATTGCAATGCGTAGCTGACAGGCACTCCCAATACCCGGTCAAGACGCACAAGCGCAAGCGGAAATATATTGCCATGTAATTCGTAGCTCCGTACAGCATTCGCTTAAGACGGATGGCGTGTTGCCCACTGCCAAATGTCAACCGTCGAATTGAATTGCGTTTAGTCAACGGTCAGAGCCATTCCGAGGGTCGGTGGAATACGGAGTAATTACGTCGTATGTTGTACAAATATTTCCTAAATCAATAAATATTTCAAAGTATTCAGGTGGAAAGCGAAGGTTGTGGCTGGCAAGGTACAAAGGAACTGGCGCCAAAGTAACACAAACATGCGTTTGACGAAGTTGCATGTTGGCTTATGTATGTCACGATAAATGTAAAAGAAACGAATATGCTCTTAATCTATGAATGCATACGTAAAGGGCCCCATGATATATCTATTGCTGTGGTGGGTTGATACGGTGTCTGGATTATTTCATTTAAATATATATATAAGTGTGTGTATATGTATATGTATATAGATAACGACGACCAAGGGGGACGAAAACATATATTAAAAATATATGTATAAATATAATACAAAAATAGAAATCCTATGCAGTACAAATGTATGTCGTAGTCTATTTAAACTTACAATCACAAGTGGAGTTTTATAACCGTCGATATTATTATATCAAAAAGATATAACGCAGATACACCGACACCCGCTACTGTTTACCTCTCACACGCCCTAAACAACCCCCAGGATAATCTTTCGGATTTGGTCGATTGTTGAGAGACTGAAAATCATCTCATGTAAAGACGACAAAAGAATTACATTTTCTTGGGCCATGCCAATATATGCTGTAGCATAAATAATGACCCTTATGGAAAGAACCATTCCTACTGGCCCTCTGCCGGAAAGAATGGCCGGACCGCGCATGGCAGACAGGGCAGGCACGACAGGCACCAATAGGCAGAACAAGGCAACAGCACAATTAGGAAGGCGAGACCGAAAGACAAAATAAAATAAACACATATACAAAGAAAGAGCAATGGGGTTCGAAGGGAAATGGTTACCTACCACTGGGAGAGGAATGTTTCCGTATCCCACTCCACATCTTTCACCAATCTGCCGAGCCGGGACAAACGGTACGATCATTCATTCGGCCATGCATCGTATGCCAAGCTCCAACCAAACCCGCAGAACCTCGAGGACCACACGAAAACGAGAGATGCCTCACCAGAAAAGAACACAGAAAGTGGACAGACTGAGCCCGCGCGCCGACCACCCGCCGGCGAGCCTGCGCCGGCTGCATGGCTCGCTGTTTGGCATGCGGTGTGTCAACGTGGACCGCGGTCGAAGTGGTGGCAGCCGTGAACGCCTCTGCGACTATGCTCTGCAAGGCGACTTTGCCGGTCCGGAATGCCCGGCCTTTGGCGCTTGTGCGGCCGACCTGCTGCCGGTGCTGTTGGAACCCGTGATTGGCACGCTCGAGACCGCGTAGGGGGTCAAAAGGGCGAGCGAAGGCGACACGAGCAATGATTTGGACCGTTACGACAGCGCGTTTTCATTTTAATCTCATTTCTTTCAGCAAATGCTGACACAACGTTAGATTGCTACCTTTGTCTCCGCAACCTTTCACCCCTCACCCCGTTTGTATACAAAGTCTTTCATGGCAGATCCGGCTCATTCAGCATCATAGCCACTACGCCGGCAATAGCCGCCAGCAGCAACGTCGAGCACACACCAAAAACCGCCGCATAGGTGCCGTCACGCGTCAGAAGAAGCGCAGCCACGACAAACACGTTGAGCGGCACCCGCAGCAACGCATACACTTGCGCCCGTGCGCCGTCGGGCACAAGCTGGCCCTTGAGGAAGCCCATACACGGCCAGTAGGTGCCGACACACGCTTCGAAAAGGCAAAACAGCCAGAAGACAGACTGCTCCGAGAGGCTAGAGGAGGACGATGACAGCAGGTAGAAGACGACCTCGGCGGCCCCCAGCAGAGCCAGCAGCAATGTGGCACATCGCATGAGCCGCAGCTGGGCTGTGATGACGTTGAATGCGAGCGTTGCGGCCATGGCGGCGGCCATGAAGCTGGCAAAGATGATGCCATAGGGGAGGGACGGTGAGGATGGGGACGAGGAAGTGGACGAGGACGACTCTGCTGCTTGCTTCAAGGCCGGCGTCCAGAAAAAGACAAACAGGTACATGGAGCCCTCAAAAAGCGTCGACGCCAGTCCCAGCACCAGCACCACCGGATCCCGCAGCACCGCCAGCACGCGCCCGCCGCCGTCCGCTCGGTCTTTTGTGGCCGCCTCGCCAAAGTTCTCCTCCCATGCGCCCGCGATCCGCCATGCCGCGATGCCCAGCAACACTGCACTCGCCACAAACGGGGCCTTGCGCGTACCCGTCGCGGCTACCACCCACTCGCTGAACACACCGCTGGCAATCGCTGCCAGGCTGTTGAGCGTACCCATGCGGCCAAACGTGTGCGACAGTCGAGCCGACGCCTGCCGCTCGGACTCGTCCTTTTCCCTCTTGTCGTCGACGTCTGCACCGGCGACGCGGTCATTGTCGACGCCGATGGCGGCGGTGACATTTGCCGCCCCAAACTTTTCATTCTCCCAAAAGTCCGTCACCATCCAGCTCTCAAACACACTGAACAGCAGGCTCGTGCTCACGCCACCGAGCATGCGTCCCAGCAGCAGCACAGGAAGCGACGCCGACACCACTGTCAGTACGCACGACGCTGCGTAGGTGCCGCAGAACACCAGGCATGCCCGCTTGCGTCCGTGCTGGTCCGCCATGCCGCCCACCACAGATGCGCTCACGCCGCCGGCCACAAACCCCGTGGCGAACAACAAGGGGACACGGGCTGGCGAAACATGGTGCTCGTCGGTGTACAGCGAGTAGAGAAAGGGCCCCTGGAGCCAGTCGGCGGCCATGACGAGGGCATAGACGGACAAAAAGTCCGACGCCCGGGCGGCGTGTGCTGCCGCCGCCGCTTCACGGCCCTCTCGCGCCTTTTTGGCCCGCAGGGCCTTCTTTTCTTGCTTGGCGGAGTCGGTGCTATTCGACTCGCCCGTGGACGTGTTGCTGTCGTCCTTTGTGTCCTGCTCGGCTGAGCTCTGCCAAAACTGTTGCCCAGCGTACAGTGCGGCACAGAGGCCGACGAGGCCCGTGAGGTTGGCCTTGTAAATGTCCATTTTCGAGGTTCTGCAAGCTCGTAGCGACTTGTATCTGGGCGACGAACTTGACTGTGGAATTGCAAGACGATGAGACGGTGTGAAATGTCGAACGCTTTTGTCTTCTGTTGTGAAGTTGTCTCTTCTTTCCTTCTTCTTGCGTAGTTGGCCTTTTCCAATTACCCGGAAACGAGAGTAATGTAAGTATAGTGAGAAAAGTACAGATGAACACTCAATACACAAACTGCTCACGTTGTCAAAAATTGAAAATAAAATAAACGAGACGCGGGAACGGAAGGGAACTGGGCAAAGGCGGAGAAGGAGACACGACCAGAAAGAAACAGGGGAAGCGGCCCGAACGTTTTCGCAGCGTCTGCGACAGCAAATGTAGGAGATCCAAGGAGAGACCAGGACCACCAAAGAGCTAGATGGATCGTCTTGCACGAGTCATAATAATCGTTATTTCGAGATAGACAAGAAAATACCATTTTTTTATTACGGAAATAGCCATGTTGCGCCACAAACGCCTCAAAAACCCAAGAAAACGCCCGCACCTCCCTCCCGTCAGTCACGGCTGTCGCTGCGACTCCGACGGCGGACAGGACTGCGGCTTCGGCTTCGGCTTGGGCTGCGGCTGCTGTAACTCTGGCTGCGGCCACGACTCCGGCTTCGGCTCCGGCTGAGACTGCGACTAGGACTGCGACTCGCGCTGCGTGGCGATCGGCTGTCGCGCAGCGCCCGACCCCGTGCTGGCCCCTTCCCTCGGCTTCTGCTGTCGTCCGACACTTCGCCCTCGCTCATGTCACCGTAGTCGTCCCGCCGCCGGCCTTCCGGCTTTCTGTCTTGGTCCCGGCCGCCCCGGCCGCTGTCCTTGCGTCGTCTCTGCTGGCCGTCGCTGCCATCGTCCTCGACGCTTTTGAGAGGTGGCGACGCCCGGCGGCCCGACCGTCCTGCGCCCACCTCGCCATCGTCGTAGCTCTCGTAGCCGTCGCGGCTGTCGTCGCTGTACCGCCGTCTCTTGTCGTGCGCGGCAGCACCACCCGCCGCAATGCCGTCGTCCACCTTGCGCTTCTGGGCCTGCTGCTGCTGCTGCTGCTGCTGCTCCTTCTCCTCCTTTCTCCGCCAGTGAGCGCCCTCCTGGTAGTCTTTGTTGATGCGCAGGGCCCGGCGCAGACGTTCGCTCTCGACAATCTTGGCACGTGCCTGCTCGTGGACCTGGTGGGCCTTGAACCGCTGGGGCCCGCCGCCGTTGTTATTGTTGTTGTTGCTGTGGTCGTTGCGGCCTCCATTGCCGCCCCGCTCCGCCTCGTCCGTCAGCTTCTTCCGCAGGGCGTCGCAGCGCTCGTCAATGGCATCCTCGTCGAGCTTGCCCTCCTCCTCGAGCTCGTCACGCAAGGCAAACACGCGGACCTCGATGGCGCGCTTGCGGTCGTGCTCCAGGATGCCCTGGTCGGGTTGGCGGAGGCGGCTGGCCTGCTGGCTGGCCAACAGGTCGCGGGGGTTGTTGCCGTGTGGCCCTCCATAGGCGTTGTCGCGCGGGCGGATGAAGGCGCGGTTGCGCTGCACGTAGCCGGAGGTGCCACTGCCGCGCGGCGTGGAGAGGCCGACGTTGTCGGACATGTTGGTGTTGAGTGTTGGTGCCAGAGGAGAATCCAACAAGGAGAGTGGGTGATGAATGTGGGCGAGGGCGGTTGGATGTCCCCCAAAAAGGTGAGGCTGAAAAACGAAAAGTGGTGATAAACTCTATGTCCTTCTGTAAGTGACTTCTGTTCAGCAGGTTCGACTGGTGGCTAGGCGTGTTGGTCGCTGCTTTCCTCTAGCGCTCTAGAAGGCGGTGTGGCGACTGCGACAAGGCTCTGGTGCATTCTCCCGGCAGAAAAAAGACGGCTGGGAGGTGCCTGTAACTCTCAGCAGGTGCCCTGTAACAGTGTAACTGCAGCATGCGCCAGCAGCCTGCGGGGTTGACTCACAATTTTCGCCCCTCCCAAGTCTAGCTTCAATATAAGACTTCAGCGTCGTTGACGAATTGACGTTTTGTTCACGGACGCCATTCACAAACTACATTCACGATCTCGACGATTTGCATACACGGTTTCATACACCGGATTACGGCGATTTTCACACACCTTGCAATGCCCGAATTCCACTCAGCACCGCAGCCGGCGGCGGCCGCCAGCGACGAGGCTGCCGAAGAGATCCGTTTTCCGCCCGTCAGTCGCGACCACATTCTCTACTGTTCATACGACTACTGGTTCCCAAAGTGAGTGCAGCCACGACCACGGACGGCGGGGGACATTTGGTGGCACTCAGGCACTGACCAGACAGATACCGCAAGGTGTGCATCAAGTCACGCATCATCCCGCTGCCAGCCGAGTTTATCGAGTACCTTCGCGAAGACAGCATCATCCTGAGCGACGAGAGCCATGGGACGCCAAAGGGCAAGGATGAAGACGACGATGACGATTGGGAGCCCTCAAACCCTACTATGCGGCACTACAAGTCAGCCGACGAGGAAAAGTACGACGTGTTTCTGGACGACGACAGCGACGACGACGACGACGACGACGACAATGCGCCGCCAGTTGTGAGGCTGCCGCCCAACAAGCGCTTCCCAGAGCTGCACCAGCGGATCAAGGACGAGATTGCGGCGCTGGGCGGCGTTGTGGCGCCCAAGCTGAACTGGAGCGCGCCCAAGGACGCGGCCGAGCTGATGGAGCAGAAGAACACAATGAAGTGCCGCACCCCCGACGACATTTACTTTATGCTCAAGAGCTCCAACTTTGTCAGCCACGACCTCGAGCACGCCTTTGACGGGACGACGCCAACCACGTCCGGCCCGTCTCGATCCGCATCCGCATCTGCGTCCACACCCACGTCATCATCCGCCCTCGGCTTCAACCCGGTCTTGGTGCTCCGCGCCTACTTTGACATCCACACGGCCCTCGAGTTCCGCTGCTTTGTCAAGCAGCGCAACCTCGTCGCCGTCACGCCCCGCGACCTCAAGTACTACCCCTACCTCGACGGCCTGCGCAGCACCATCCTCGAGCGCACCAAGACGCTCTTCCACAGCAAGCTGCAGTTCACCTTCCCCTCGGGCAACTTTGTCTTTGACATTTACATCCCCGAGAAGCGCGGCCACGACGTCGGCGACGTCGGCGACAACGAGGCCGACGCGCCCAACCCCAACGGCCGCCTGTCGTACGCGCGCCTCATCGACATCAATCCGTGGGCCCCGCGCACGGACACGCTGCTGTTTGACTGGAAGGAGCTGCTGGAGCTCAAGATCCCGACGCCGTTCCTGGGCATCGTGGGCGACAGCGGCGTGGCGGACGAGGACCAAGACGTCGACCAGGGCGACGGTGTCGACGGCGAGGCGGCGGATGACGAGACGGAGGACGATAGCGGCGACGACGACGACGACAACGACGACGACTACAACACTGAGCTGCGGCTCGTCGACGAGGACGACCCGGCAGCCATGAACTTTAGCTCGGCGCCGTACTCGGCCCACAAGCTGCCCAAAGAAGTTGTGGACGCGAGCATGGCCGGCGAGGGCGGCCTGCGCGAGTTTGCACAACAGTGGCAGGAGATTGTCCAGAGCCGGGAGCAGAGACGGTAGCAGAGGCGATATCGACAGAAGAGCGGAGAGAGGAGCGGACAGAGGATCTGACAAGGAGCAGCAGGGCGTGGTAAATGGAGTTGTATAGAGCGATATATCATGGCGTTTCTTTTCGTGAATTGTGCATCGACGTTGGTAGGCGCAGGTACTATATTGGTTGTATGGCCAAGGTAGACACTACCGAGGTGTGCGTCGAGCCCTGATGCACGGCGTTTGTGCTGTATCGTGTGAGTGAGCCTTGTCAGAAGCTGGTCGTGTGTTTTCGGCGACGACTTTGAGACCGGAGCTGGTAGTCCGTTGGCGGGCAAAGAGGACCCACTATTAAGGTGACCGCCATTGGCGAATTCGTGCTGGAAGGCGCATTCCAACAGCTGGGTTCCTTCCCTCGGCTCCGCCTTTTTGCCGACTTTGCTTAGTTCCTACCCGCAAAAACAGCCCCAAAGGAGCGGCCAGCTGCCTGCCAGCTGCTTGCCACTTCCCTGCTCCTTCTATCAACATCGACGTCAACGACAACCATTTGACTTTCCAACAACTCTCAACTCTCACGACTCCCGTTGCAGAATCACAAGCGCATAGCGTCGCATTCCCGTTGTCTTTTGTTTGCCCTTCCATTGAGCTGCGCTGCGACTCGGGACAAGCGCATTGACAGCCAAGATGACGGGCATCATCCGCTTTCCGCGCGGTGGGCGTCCAAACAAAGTCACAAAACCGCCAGCAGCAGCGCCACCGACGTCGACAACGAATACGACGACGAATACGACGACGAGGCGCGCGGTCAGTGGCAGAAGCGGCAGCAACAGCAGCCACAGCGGTGCTGCTCCCTCGTTCACGGCGGCCGATCGCCGGGAACTTGCTTTTGAGCAGGCGTTCGACCTGCAGCTGCAGGAGCGAGGACTATTTGAGGACCGACAGCGACAGCAAAGACAACCGCAGGGCCAAGAACAGCATGGGACAGCAGCACCCACAGAAACCGAAACAGCAGACCACCTCTCCCCAGAACAGGCCCAGTCATTAATACAAGACGGGCCATTTTACAATCCAGACCACGGCCAGGCGCATACTACCGACGACGACACAGCCGACGGCGATCACGAGGAGGATCGAGATCGAGACGACAACAGCGGCAAACCCGGCCGAGGAAGCGCCGATAGCGACATGCTTGACGTACACGGCGGCGGCGAGAACCGTGGTGCCAGTGGTGCCAGTGGTGCCAGTGGTGCCAGTGGTGGCCACAGTGGCGACATCAACGAGGCAGAGATGAGTGAGATGGTCGGCGACGCTGTCAACAGCTACACAGGAGAGAACGGCGCTGGTATGCCGCCGAGAACGACCGAAGGGGCAGGGCAGCCGACGTCCAACGCGACAACATCCAATGACAACAGCCATGGCCACGGAATCGATATGGACCTGTCTGCGGCTGCAGCGGCGGCGGCGGCAGCCGCGGCAGTGGCGTCGGCCTCGCATCTGGCGACGTCGGGACAGAACCACACAATCGATCACCAGCTCCATGCCCAAACGGCCGACTACAGCTCGCCGACACAGGTGTCGGATGCACAGATGTCCGACGCCCAGCACCCACAGCACTCCCAGCACAGTCTACCGTCTACGGCAGAGAATACTGCGTTGGACACAGTGTCGGGACAAGAAGCGACTGGACCAGTAGAAGCACCAAAACACGACCCTGCCGCGCCTACGGCGTCAGTACCGGCGCCAGCACGATCCAGCACCGCAGACGTGGCACGCGACTCGGGCTACGACCATCTTGTCGTCGAGAGCGCACTCGCAAAGCGCCTGTCGCGCGAGGTCGGCCTGCGTCCCGCCCAGCAGCGCCGCCCCGACCAGCAGCTGAACCTGGGCCGCCGCAGCAATGTCGAGGCCCTCTTTGCGCACATTTCCGGCGCGGAGGTTGCTGTGCCCTGCAAGAACTGCCACAAGGGCCACGGGCCCTGGACTGCGTGTGTCGTCGTCGATGGGCAGATGTGTGGCAGCTGTGCCAACTGCTGGTACAACGCCTCGGGCGCGCGCTGTTCATTTCATGGTAGGCGCTGCCCTTTTCCACGTTTGTACAAACAGACTTCTAACTCTACAGAAACGAAAGCAACACCGCTGCAGGGCCACCTCCATGGCCACCCATCGCGGCCATCCGTCAGCGGCGGAGTTGCGCCGTCACCTTCCGCCAGTATGCCGAGCGCATTGGATCCGCAACTGGCGGCGGCGGCCGGAGCCTACACGGTCGGCTCGCCATTGGGAGGTGGCACCAACGTACAGCACCCCTTTTCTGCACAGCAGCAACACCAGCAGCACCAGCAGCTCCAACAGCGCCAACCGCATGCTGCCCCGGCCCAGCAGGCTGCCGCTGCCGCTGCCGCTGCGGCTGTGGCCGTCCAGCAGTTAAGCAACGGCGGCCATTTCCCCGGCGTTGCGGCAGCGACGAACGGGACGAGTGGTGCCAGTCGTAGTGGTGACGGTTCCCTGCCCTCACCGTTGAATCTGGACCTCGTCTCCGCGCTTCTCGGTGGCAGCCCGGGTGGCCACGAAACAACGGCAGCAGCGGCAACGGCGACCGCAGACGCTGCTCCGCTCGTCAGCCTCGTCATCAACCAGGCGCTGGCCGAGGTGCGCAATGCCGACCAGCGGGGGCGTGATCTGATGCTTGTGGAGATTGCCGCAAAGCAGCTGGCGCTAGCCATTGTCCGCTATGGAGAAGGCGCCTCGGCGGCAACAGCAGCAGGGGCGGCAGGCAGTGCCCCTTCTGATGGCTCTGCTGCTTCTGTTGTTGTGCGTGACGGTGCATCGACGGGAAAAGGCGACGCTGCGTCCAGCAGCAACAAAGATGGCACAGGGCCTGACGTGGCCGAATAGAAACCTTTGCCTTGCCATAAAACTGGGTTATACTATAATCCACGGGACTGTGACGCACACGAAGTGTTGTTTTGACTGTACAAAAAGAGGGAGCACGCAGGCTGATGGTGGCTAGTGTTATGGGGACTGGGGCTATTATCATGGGTTGGGAGGTTGGGTTTCATGCGGAGTTTTTCTACGGGAGAAACGTTGATATCCAGGACAAAAGGTTATTTTTCACATGCACAGAAATATTGTACATAATAGACTACAACCATCATTGCTGTTGTATAACCTACTACTATACCTATCTCTATTGCTGACATACGTACAGTGATTGTTTGGGAATGAACATGCCATATGATGTCACACATTAGGAGCAAACTGATTTGAAAAGTATTGTCATATTAAACAAGATATCGAGCCTTCCCTTGCCCATTTTGCAGCCTGAAAAATGCGAGAAAATGAGAGAGAAAAATAATGAACAAGAAGTAGGGAAAGGAAAGAGTAAAATGGAAATAAAAACAAAACATTGTCAGAGGAGAAAGAGGATGACGACACAAGAGCTCCCGTGTCTCACCGGAACTCGTGTTTCCTCGTTTAAAACATCCCGCGTCCCGTTCCGGCTGGGACCAAAGGAAACTCTTCTCTTTTTGTAGTACAAAGTTAGACAGGACTGTTGCACCCTAAAGTAGCAAGCTGCTCGGCACACGGTCAACCCCTTCTCGTTCCATCCCATCCTCAAGGCACCTCAAAAGCCGTTACGGTAATCTGTTCCGCAACAGTTTGTTGGACCTGGGGAACGGCGGACCGAACCAACGCACAAGAACACGACAAATATAGTAAAACAACAGCAAATAGCAAACACAGAACCGAAGACCGCCGGAGCAAAATAAAAACGAGGTACTAGATTGTAACATGGCAAAAGAAGCGAGATAACAGAAAAAAAAAGAATATAAGAGGAAAATAGACGTTCAAAGCTTGTTGTCGTAAAGATTGATGGTGTGGCGGTAATAGAACAACTAGGGCGCTAAATGAGATTGGTAGGCGCCGTTGTCGAGTCGGTTCGTTTCAATGCAAGTCGATCCGAATTGATTCGAGTGAGGCAAGGGAAAGGAGTCGAAAAGTCGATAGGCTGTTATCGAGTAAGGAATGTGGTGCAGCACTGCGAATATGCGTGCATGCATCCTCAATTCGATCAGCAGGATCCCATTTCGTGCACTGTCGTTCGGGTATATAGGAGGACTGTTGGAAGACGACAAAGGAAAAAGCAAGTAGACGCTGATGTGTTTAGATAAGACCACATAGACGCAAGTTCTCCTGAATGATGATATCTATTGCGAGTTAGTACCTTGGATGCACCGCCCGCCCAATAAGACAATACTCACCATTAACAGCCGCCATGACGAAGCGAATTTGTGTTGTGTCCGTAGCGCAGGTGAAGTGTGTGTAGATCTGCTTGCTCTCGTGCTGGTTGAGGTTGACGAAGCGGTTCAGGATGTAGTCGCAAGCGGCGGCGTAGTCATCACCTCCCTCGTAGTCGGGGAAGTAGTTCTTCATGGGGGAGATTGGCAACTTTTCCTTGAACCGGTCGATCTTGTTCAGGAAGAGAATGATAGACGTCTTGATGAACCACCGCGAGTTGCAGATGGAATCGAACAAGGTAAGCGCCTCCTGCATACGGTTGACCGTCTCGTCCTCGAACAGAAGCTGGTCGTACTCGGAAATAGCGACGAGGAACAGAATTGTCGTGACGTTCTCGAAGCAGTGAATCCACTTCTTCCGCTCCGAACGCTGGCCACCGACGTCGAACATGCGGTAAGTGAGGTCGCCGATAATAAAGGTCGTCTCGGTGATACCGGTCGTCTTGACACGCGACCGCAGGACGTCCTGGTCGTCGGGCATGTAGTCGGGCGCAGCAATGCGAGCAATGTTGTCGAAGTAGCTTTTATTTGTCAGTTTGTAAAGTTGAGACAAAAGGTGGAAGGCGGGCAGACACTCACTATCTAGCCGAATCGTTGAGCTGGTACTCGCGCGAGCGTTTGAAACACTCCTGCACACCGCGGTCCTTCCACAGAGCCTCAATGGCATTGCCAACCTCAGGCGGCAGGACCTCGCCCTCGATCTGGGCGGGTTGCATGAAGATGGTCTGGACGTGGTACTCCATGCGCTGGTCCTCCAGCGGGAGCTCCAGAGACTCCATGGCCTCGAGGATGACGCGCATGGACTGGACGGTGTTGCTGTAGATGATCTCCTTGAACGACTCACGCTCGTCGCGTGAGTAGCCGCCCTCGTGGATCAGCTTCATCTGCTTCAGAATGGTCGACTTTCCGGATTCACCAGCACCTGGATTCTTTTGTCAGAACACGTTCGTTTTGGTGCACCCCCGCGATCATTTCTCCCCAGAGAGACGCCGTGACATACCCAGAAGAAGCATCTTGATCTCGTTCCGCTGCTGCATCCGGTCGCGCTTGAGCTGGTTCTCAATCTCCTCGTTCCGGGCCTTGCCCTCCTTCTCCTCCACACTCATTCCGCAACCCATCTTGGTTGATTGGTGACTCGCACGGGAGCTCGAAAACGGTTTCGTAAAAAGGGTGACAAAACAATCTGGTTAACCGGCCGTTTTCTCGTCTAAGGACAGCAGTCGTGGTTCTATTGGATTGACTTATGGTTAGCATTTCGGCACAGGATGATATTTGTTTTGTTGTAGCTGTCACGCGAGTCGGGAAACAGGAAAGGTTGAAAAGTGGTGGCGATTTTGGGCGCGTGTCGTGCTAGAGAGCATTGGCGGGACAAAGACGACAATAGTAGGTCGACAATAGACGACGGCGCCAGTAGACCGGCATCGTAAATTGGTATGCTTCAAATGAGAGAAGCTCAATCCGGAGAGTGTAGAAAGGGATGAAATGAACAGGCCTCAGGCGTGACACTTTATTGTCGGAATCGGTATTTGATGATCGCGTCGAGAGCGTCGGGCCAGATCGAGAGGCGACAAAAGGACAAACCACACAAAAGAAGAGCAAACATCAAAGCGATAACTTACCCGTCGAATCGCCGTGTATTGGGGATATTGTCCAGCAAAAGAAAACCTCACGGCGAAGAGAAGCTCGACGGTAGCGAAAGGCGTCGTTGCAAAGAAGAAAAAAGCGGTCGAGGTGTCGCGATGTTGAAAAGGGTCGAAATCGGCGAGATCAGGAAAAAGGGGGGAGGAAAAAGGACAGGAGCAAAATCCGAGTGGGCGAGGAAAGTACCACCCCAAAGTAAGCTAAGGAAATAAAATAAGGGAATGGGTCCGACAGGAGAGAGCAGCGAGGAGAGGAGAGAGACGAAATGCGACTAGTGACGAAAAGAGGTTGGGGGGAACGAGCGCTGGAAGGGTAAGTGCTGGGGTTGCAATCGTGGTGAGATGGAAAGAGCAGAGGAGGGAAAAAATGGAGGGCGACGGAAGGAAAGAGGAGACAGGGCCAGAGGGGCGAGGAGGAGATTATTGACTGGTGGCGGGAAAGATGGGCGACAGGGAAGCTGACGATGGATGGGTACCTGTATCGACAATTGCAGCAGCCCCAGACAGCTGGGCAGGTGCGACCGGCAGGAAAGCAGTAAATGGGCAATCACAAAAATGGGTATCGAGATGGGGAAGGAACGGGGTGGCCAGCGGGCTTGCCGGTAAAAAGCAAAAAAGGGGGGAGCCACCCTACGACTTACAGATAAATTCGGACTGCTTCAGGGGAAAGG